AGTATGGTAGTCAGCCCCGGCTACCCCTACCAAGAGAAAGAATTGAGTGCATGAGAGAGGAAACCCGCAGAGTTATGAAAAACCAGGCAAGGGAATTTTTGTAAAATTTCACTCTGGTTTTGTACAATTTTCATGTGTACAGGGTTTTCTTACATTTAACGGGAAATAAATAAAGAAGAACATCCCCTTCTCATGTAAACATTTGGAAATAATATCCCTGATGAAGAATGGAAGTAAGTCACTCTGACTTTTTTGGGTTATCCTAGGTTCTCTACACATATGTTGTTATGTATTTATGTTATGTATCGTGTTTATTATATAATTTTGAAAAAAAATATCACGGATGGATTAATGAAAATGTGTATATTAACGTAATATACAACATTTAATGATACACCGAGCTCAGACAGCGTAAACAAACTGAACAGGTTGTGGACGATCACTCGGTCAGGCGAAATAGATGGTATTAATACGTTGTCCAGTTTAGTTCATTCATGTACATTTGTAAGAGTTTGTGAAACTTTTACCTTATAATATTTTTATTATTATTATAATAATTAAATCACGAAACAAATACTCTTACACTGTGTACAAGTTAGTACAGAATTATAGCTAAAAAGTGAAGGCATACGAAAGGAATATTTTTCTACAGTTATCCCTAGTAACAGTGATGGGCTAGAGAAAACGTATTCTTCCGACACTTCTACAAAACCGTTTGGTAAACATCTCGTATATATTTGTATAAATTTTTATACTGTGGGTGCATGTATCATGTTTGTGTGTTACATAATGTGTTTCTTATATAATTTTGAAAAAAATATCATAGATAGATTAAGGGAAATGTCTATATTAACGTTAATATGCGACATTAATGCGCCCAAGAGATTATTATTATTACTATTATTATTACTATTATTATTATTATTATTATTATTATTATTATTATTATTGCATCAAGAGTAGAGAGACTCTTAGTGATTTTAATGTGTACCTACATGCCAGCACAGTGTGTAAGTTTATTTAGGTACAGGTGTACACAAGTTTAATTATCAAGTACAATACATATAAAATATACAATAACTTTAAAACACTTGAAATTTTGGAAAGTTTCCAGACATAATAAGGAGATGTGCTCAGGGAGAATGTAAACAAACTCGGTGGGCCGCTGTGACCGTATTAGAAAGACAGGTGGGGGGAGCCGTATAGCGAGTTTTGGTCATAATTTGAAATGTCCGTATTAGCGGAACGCCGTAAAGTGAAACGCCATAAAGCGGGGCCCTCCTGTATTCTAAATATGAATACACCTACCATCCGACTTATGACAGAGTTCGGTTCCGAGAAACCGGTCGTAAGTCGAAATGGTCGTAAGTCGAACTTTACTACTGAATATCAACAAAACATTTTTGTAATGACTTTATTTTATTGTTTTATTTTGGTATTTCATGTTTTACTTTACTTTTTATGTTGTTAGTACTGTATTTTATAATGTAAGGTTTAGGATAAACACTGTGTACAACACAAATACAGTGGACCCCCGCTTAACGATCACCTCCCAATGCGACCAATTATGTAAGTGTATTTATGTAAGTGCTTTTGTACATGTATGTTTGGGGGTCTGAAATGGACTAATCTACTTCACAATATTCCTTATGGGAACAAATTCGGTCAGTACTGGCACCTGAACATACTTCTGGAGTGAGAAAATATCGTTAACCGGGGGTCCACTGTAGTTGTTTATTTCCCAGAAATTTGGCATAAACACGGTCGTAAGTCGAGTGGTGGTAAGTCGAGCAGGTCGTAAGTCGGATGGTAGGTGTATACAGTGGTACCCCAAGTTTCCAACTTATTTCATTCCAGAAGGCTGTTCGAGTGCCAATACCAAATGAATTTGTTCCCATAAGGAATAATGTAAATTAGATTAGTCCATTTCAGACCCCAAAAATACATTTACAAACACACTTACACAAATACACTTACATAATTGTTTGAGTTGGGAGCATTTCAAAACTCAGGGTACCACTGTACAGAGATTTAACAAGAACTAATACAAAAATATATAATGGATAGATAGTAAAATGGTATTTAACAAATTGAAATGGTAAGATTTGATATTTAAAAATAAAAATGAAGTAAGTGTAATACTGTGAAAAGTGGTGGGGTGCACTTAATGGCTTGGAAGGTAGGTTGTGAGGTATAAAGTAATTAGTTACATTATATAACATGTAATAATTGCACAATAAGATTTTTGACTAATGGTACAAATTTAATCAAGCAAGCAATAGCACAAAAACATAGGACATGAGGTAGTTGGTATTAGCTAGTTAATACCAACTACCTCATACCATACACTACATGTAGATAATAATGTTAAGGAGGAATTGGTTAATCAGTCTCAGTAAGATCTGCATCTCTAAGGAAGTTGAATAGATCATATTCATTTGTGATAGTATATAAATGGCCTACATCTGTTTTTCTCACTAGAATTTTTCCCATCTCAAGTGAAGCACTGGTGGAGTTTGTCACTGTTATCTCGTTTGAGTTTTCTCAATTTGAACAAAAAGGTTCTGAAGTTTTCTCGTCAGACATTCTTTGATGTACTCTTCTTTTTTTGCTCTAATTGATGATTTTATTAGATCCTTTAAACTAGAGGATCCTATAAACTAAAGGAGCAGTTAGGGTAAGATATAAACAACTACTGGAGGATAGATGGACTAATGATAGTACATATAGGCAATGAGGTTGAAGAGGTATGGGATAGATTTAAGAATTTAGTGTTAGAGTGTTCAGCAGAAGTTTGTAGTTACAGAAAGGAAGAAGAGCAGTTAGTGGAATGATAAGGTAAAGAGAGTATTAAGAGAGAAAAAGTTATAAATATGAGAGGTTTTTACAAAGTAGAAGTGATGCAAGGAGAGAGGAGTATATGGAGAGAAAAAAAGAGGTTAAGAGAGTGGTGAAGGAATGTAAAAGGAGAACTAATGAGAGAGTGGGTGAAATGCTGTCAAAAATTTTGCTGATAAGAATAAGTTTTGGAGTGAGATGTGAGTTGAGAAAGCCTAGGGAATGAATGGATTTGATAGAAATAGGAGAGGAGAGTTTGAGGTATCAGGAAGATGGAGGAAATATTTTGAGGAACTGTTAAATGTTGATGAGGATAGTGAAGTTGTGATTTTGTGCATTGGGCAGGGAGGTATCAGATCTTGTAGGAGTGAGAAAGAGCGAGTTGTGCGTGTGAGGGAGTGCATGAAGCAGTGGGTAGAATGAAAAGGGATAAAGCAGCTGGGATTGATGGAATAACGACAGAAATGTTAAAAGCAGGTGGGGATATAGTTTTGGAATGCTTGGTGCTTTTATTTAAATGTATGGAAGAGGGGAAGGTACCTAGGGATTGGCAGAGTGTGCATAGTTCCTTTGTATAAAGGCAAAGGGGACAAAAGAGTGAGTGTAAAAATTATAGGGAAATAAGCTTGTTGAGTATACCTGGTGAAGTGTATGGTAGAATTATTACCGAAAGAATTAAGAGTAAGACGGAGAGCAAGATTGCAGATGAGCAAGGAGGCTTTAGGAAGGGTTGGGGGTGTGTAGACCAAGTGTTTGCAGCAAAACATACAGGTGAATAATATTTAGATTGAAGGCAAAGAGGTTTTTGCTGCATTTATGTATTTGGAAAAGGCGTATCATAGAGGGCAATGTGGCAGATGTTGCAAGTATATGGAATAAGTGGTAGGTTACTGAGATCAGTGAAGAGTTTTTACAAGGATAGTAATGCTCAGGTTAGAGTATGTAGGAGAGAGGGAGATTATTTCCCAGTAAAAGTAGGTCTTAGACAGGGATGTGTGATGTCACCATGGTTGTTCAATATATTTATAGAGGGGGTTGTAAGTGAAGCAAATGCTCGAGTGTTGGCAAGAGGTGTGGGATTAATAGATAAAGAATCTAACAAAGTGGGAGCTGTCACAGTTGCTTTTTACTGATGACACTGTGCTTTTGGGAGACTCTGAAGAGAAGTTGCAAAGGTTGGTGAACAAATTTGGGAGGGTTTGTAAAAGAAGGAAATTAAAAGTGAACATAGGAAAAAGCAAGGTGTGAGGGTTAAAAGATTTAAGTTATGAAAAAATTTGGGTATCAGACTGGAGGGGAGGAGTATGGAGAAGTGATGTTTTTCAGAATTTGGGAGTGGTCTCTTCAGCAGATGGGTCTATGAAAGATGAGGTGAATCATAGAAATTGATGAGGGAAAAAGATTAGTGGTGCATTGAGGAGTCTGTGGAGACAAAGAACATTATCCATGGAAACAAAAAGTGGAATGTATGAGAGTATAATTATTATCATTGCTTTATATGGGTGTGAAGCATGGGTGGTGGATGTTGCAACAGGGGAAAAAGACTGAAAGGCAGCCCGAGATGTCATGTCTGAGGGCAACGTGCATTGTGAACCATAATGCAGAGAATCTGTAGTTTAGAAATTAGGGAGGATGTGTGGGGTTACTAAAAGTATTTTCCAGAGGCCTGAGGAGGGGTTGTTGAGAGGGTTTGGACATTTAGAGAGGATGGAAACAAAATTTGAATGACTTTGATAGCATATTTAAATCTGTTGGTGGAAGGAAGGTATGGTAAGGGTTGGCCTAGGAAAGGTTGGAGGGATGTGTAAAGGAGGTTTTGAATACAAGGAGCTTGGACTTCCAGCAAGTGTATATGAGCGTGTTAAATAGAAACGAGTGGAGACAAATGGTTTTTGTGATTTGATGTGGTACTGGAGTGTGAACAAGGTAATATTTGTGAAGGGATTCAGAGAAACTGGCAGGCCGGACTTAAGTCCTGGAGGTGGGAAGCACAGTGCTTGTGCTCTGAAGGATGAGTGTTGATATGTTGCAGTTTTTTAACTGCAGTGCAGGTGCACCTGTGGGAAGACAGTGATGGAGTGAATGATGACTGAAGTGTTTCTTCTTTTTTCAGGTCACCCTGCCTCGGTGGGAAATAGCTAATGTGTTAATAAAATAAAATAAATAAATGTTTGTGTATTTTAAAATGATGCGCTTGTCATGTTGTTTCACTTTGCAGGTGTTGTTGACCGATGACTATTTCAGTGACATCAATCCTCGCTCCATGAGAAGGTTGATGAATGTTGTATACATCACTGGAAGGTGAGTAGTGATGAGCACGTATGTAAAGTTGACGTTACCAGCAATATCTACTACCTTAGAGATTTACAGTGTTATTGATAGTAATATTTGATGACTTAAACTCAGTTCACAGCTACAAGAATAGGTATGATAAGATCAAAGAGGCCAGGAATGCTGCTAGTTGGAAGGTGCAGTAACTTGTATGAAGCTTTACTTAACCTAATTACCTGAAGTAACCTTTACTTAATCTGACTTTAAACCCCACTTAATCTAGCATTGTCATTGGTTATCCTGACAGGTTGTTAAAAGCGTTCAACATTGACTTCAACTGGTACCACTTAGCGTCGTGGATCAACATTACTGAGCAGTGGCCATACAGAGCCTCGTGGCTCATCCTCTATTATGAGGCCAACGAGGATGCCTTCGATGACAAGTCTTCCCTCAAGGACCTCTACGAGAAGTATGACCTCATAACTTTTCTTCTTATCTTCCTTGATTCTTCATCATATCTACTATCTTTTTCATCATCTGCCTCAGTTATCTTTTTGTTCAGCATTTTTATTTCTTTCAGATTTATTGCAAAGATAGAGTTTCTTCAAATTTATTCTGATAAATTTTT